TTCAGAAATCATTAACGGATGCAGAACTGGATACTCTGCTTAAAGCAATAAGCCTCCCTTGGATAGATCGAAGAAAGAAGCACTGTGCGTTACCAGGTGTAGTGGAGAAAGCAAGGGCAAAGGTTTCATCAGAAAGAGATGCTCGAGCGATACCAGGATCACGATACGATTAATCTGATGGCGCAGCACGAACAGGAAATAGATAACCTAGCCCTGGGAAGGAAAGGGAACAGTTTAGTCCCTCCGATCCGTCAATCAACGATAGGGTTACCCAGAATTCTAATTAATAGGAAGGTTGGACTACCTCGAATGGCAACATGCTCGCTGATTCCTACCACTCCTATCTACATAACTGCTCCAGAGAAGGGAAGGCAGATGTCAGTGAAACGGGTAATAATACACCCTCGACTACTGGGTGAGTGAGAAAAGACAACATCCTCCTCCGGTTACACTCCCTGTGGTGCTTTCAGCGGGGGATTCGTTATGGAAAGCGGGAAACTCAAGTAAGTACGGCTTTTCGATAGCTAATACGAGTTGGGATGACCACCTGGAACCAAAACAAACTCTATAACTTGTTTAAAACAAGCTAGAACAGCATCAATTGAATTCAAGGTATAAACACACTGATAAGAAATACATGGGGCCTTATGCCCCGCTATGCACTCTACCACTTCAATTCAATGATTGACTTCACCGATACCAAACCTCGCTTGAGAGAGATCTATCACTGGCATGTGGTAAACCATACTAGTGAATGAGCCATATCGAGCTGTGGTCTTACTCTAGAACTCAAGTTCGATGAGCTCTTAGCGGAGTTGTGCCTACTATCTACTAAGTGTGTGCTAGGGAAAGAAAGCAGAGCAGTTCTCACTCTGTCCGGTGACCAAGAAAGAAAGCTTCAAGAATACCGTAAACAGATCACATACCGAATCGCCACGTGAAAGCGGGGTTAAGGTAAGGCAGGAAAGACTGACGCCGAAAGATATGTTTTGAAGAGAGCTCCATCGGGTTGAAGCCGAATTGCAGAGAATCAAGATCTTCTACCTTTGTTTGTTCCATCAATGCCCTTCGGACTGGCCTAAGAGTTGGGTCCCTGTCTGTAATTATGTGGCTAGGTAACCCATTTATGGCTTGTGGTCTTTCTGCTTATGACGTAGCACTATTCCATCTTGTAAATAACGCCTTCTTTAAGGCGCTACTATTTCTAGCGGCATAGGTGCTTTATCACAATACGAAACATGTACATACGAGGACTACGATTCCTATTTAGAGATATTCCTACGAGCGATAGACGTAGTAAAGAAATTACGTACGCCAATAATAATAATATGACTACGATTTATCGCAATACGAATTAGCGTTGAATTGCTCCTCTCCCTCTGGACTAAGGCCGATCCAACTCCATTAGAAGATCGGGGAATCGAATCCTATTCTCGGAACTTCCGCATCCCTAGTATTGTCCTCGGCTAATGCAAGAAAAGATAAGGGCACGGTTTCGGCTAAGCCAATTGATCTGCTCCTTAACGGATTGATAGTTGTAGCTGGTACTAAGCCCTCCTGAGTTCGCAATCTAATTATAATTAATAATAGTTTCGGTTCCGGAAATCCTATCGTTATCTTCGGCTTCAAAGCAAAGGGAGGGATATCAGTAGCAGTGAATATGTTCTTGTTTCGGATCCGTGAATCCAAAGCTTCCGGGTATATGAGGCCGCCTATACGGTTCCTAATCTAACTGCAGCGTATCATGATGGCAAGCTAAATTCAATCAAAGGAATCTCACCTAACGCTAGCTCCGGCAATCCTGGGACGAGTCCATACGCTAGAGTAGAGAAAAGACGAGCGCTATCCCTTTTTTTCTAAAATCCCAATCCTAGGGTCAAACCTATCCTTGGTTTAGGCAATGCCAACCTTTCCTTTCGAACAACGGTACTTACTGCCCGTAAAACAGATCGGCACCTATCCTCGGTCTCGGCTATCTTTACGGCATACCCCGAAGACGAATCAGAATTATCGACTTTAACAGATCGATGTTTTGTCGTTCAATCAAAAGCATGATTCAATTAATAGCTCGGCTTTCGAGTCCTATCCTACTCGGCTTCTCCCCATTTTTCAGACATTTTCCTATCAGTCTCACCGTCAAGATCGCAGTTCACAAAGCACACCAACTATATGTGACCCCTATACAGACCAATGAATACAAGGAATAAGATAAGCCCCTGGCCCGACTACTACTACTGTATTCCTCTCCACTCTCCTCGTCAGTTCGAGCCCGGCTCGCAACAACAACAAGGCCTTTGGTCATATCATATCTCGGCGCCTCCCTTGACATGTTATAATGCATCTATAATTTAAAGATTAGTGTCCCAAACCCTGGTCCACCTGAATTCCATTGTGTGATCAGAATACGCAAGCTAGAACGTTGTTGAAGCAAACATATAGGTAGAGGTAGCTTAATCACTAAATCAAAGAAGCCAAGGTATCGAAGGAACATAAGGTTTCCAATGCTACTAGGTAACTCCAAAAGGTTCCAATTTCCATTTCCTAAATCGTTTGTTTGGAGGTTGTAAAGAAGATAAGTTGACTCAGGCTATTTCTTCAGCTTAGAACTATAAACTTTGAGGTACCTTTTGTGCTTTAACATGTGAATAGCATCCGGCAACCAATATTCGTCTCTTCCAGTGCTAGAACATGCAAGCAAACCTTCTTTGAATACGAAAGAATGCTTGTTTTAAGGCAATGCGAGAGCTTACCAGAGAACAAAGGAGAGTAATGAGTTGATAGATAGGAGGCAGGCCCAATGATATTCAATAAAGGATAGACCGAATTCCGTCCGTATAAACATAATTTTTATTTTCTTGTAAAGTATTTCTTTTATTTTAGAGGAGTCTCTAAAGAATATTCATCATCATCTCTAAAGATAAAGGTGAGTTCCAGCAGAATGTCTATTGAACAAGAGCACAGCGAACTTCGAAATAAGAGACTGAACTTACTTTCTTTCTTGCTTGCTTACTTCTTCCTTGTTAATAGTAGGGATCAAGCTAGTCAATTCAAACCTTCGCCGCTTGCTTGTAATCCGCTTACCACTTGCTGATACTCTAGAAACGACATATCGAATTAGGGCTCTTTCCCATTGAGACCAGTACCCGTAGTTTTGAATAGATTGAATAGGAATGAATGAGAGCAATAGAAAAGCACATCAATGGAATTTCTTGAAGAAAATAGATAAAATGAAATGGAATTACAGAACAAAACAGTGATGATTGAAGGAATTGGACAAAACCAACGATTACTGCGAATGGAAGAAATGAAAGTTCAGATCGATCTAATCCTCGGCTCCACGAAGCGAAGTATGTTCAAATCCACGGAGGGACTTGAATTATTACTTCTATTTACTTGATTTGCTGGGGAAGAAAATCATTAAAATACCACTAAGGCCGGGCAAGTGCAAGTCCCGATAACGGGAAGAAATGCCTACCGTGCGTAGTACCGATGTACAACCAAGACTAAAATTGGACTAGACCTTTTATCTTGGGCTCGTTCCGAGTAAGGATTCTTTTGCCTACCTCGATTCAAGTTCCGACAAAGACTGGGACGGAGCTACTTCTTCCAAGGATGGATATGCACACCGTACCGACTTGTGAGACCAACATTCTATTCAATCAACTATTATGTTTCATAGTTGTTCTATTCAATCCAATCATTCCTATCTATTTAATCCAATCAATCCTATCATAGTATTTGGTTTCATCTTCATTTTTTCAATTTAGTAGAATTTCGTTTATGTCAGGTAGCACACCTACCGATAAGCGGAAAGTGATCATTATACCTAAACCCATGGATAGTAACCATTTTCTTTTATGAGGACTCTCTGTTTCCGGTATAGGACCAAACATTTCATTAAATGGATAATCATTTTGAAAGGCAGACAGCACTACTGGAGTAAGATCCTTCGTTTCCACGAAAACTACCTTACTATAATCAGTCACATTTGCCCTCTCATTGAGAAAGACATGATAATCTTCTGGAAACAGATCAACGGGTAACGCTTCTATACCGCTAACTGGTATATACCTGAACCATACAACGGTATAAAACCCAAATTTGACAAGAGCATAGAAATTCCCACATACAAACGATGTTCCATCCTTGGATTGGATTGTCATAAGATTCACTAAACATTGTGTGTGTATTTAGCGGTCAATGTATAATTTGAAGATTCTGTTAATCTTTGTAAAGATGTCCATAATCTGCTTCGCATAGAGAGTTCACCAAATTTCATAGGAGAGAGACTCCTTAAAGAAAGCATATCCCTTATATAATTATAATGAAACCTCACAATTGGTTGATTGAATTCGATATTATTGTGGAATAAGCACATATTATTCCAATTAGGACTATAATATCTATAACGGATTTCATAGTGCGTTTGCACATATTTATTTATATATTCTTTTAATATACGTGGATCTTGCAAACAGTTATTGACAATTTCCCTCTTCCTCCTCAAAGCAGTTATATAATTACCACTACCATATTCTATAGAATACGATTTGATTTTCTCGCTGATGGATTCTTTCCAATCTTCAGAGGGCGTATGCGTGTGAACGCTTGGTTCAAGCTCTTCACATAGACATGATCTTGGAAGACTCGTTTTTAGACCGAAGCGATTCTTTGAACCGAGTTCTTTCTCTTTCTTGCGAATGCTGATGGTTGGATTCAATGTTCTGGATCAGGTCCCTTGACCTTAGCGGCCTCGTTCTTAAAAAAAGAACTACATTCAGTTGACACAGCTATTGACTCAGCTGTGAAGGAATGAATGGCGAATCGAGGGAGGAATATGGTAAAAGCTATGCTCAAAGGTAGGTGGTCGACAACATTGGTATCCCTTGCCAACTCTTGACCAGAGATACAAAGCACCTGCAGCTGAGGCATATCTCAGTAGCTTGCAGGAAGAGAAAGATGGACTTAAACACTATAGATCTTCGCGTGATCCGCTTCCCCCAGACCAGCCAATAGAAGAAATAGAAAAGAAAGGCTTTATATACTACATTAGATAGCAAGTGGAAGGATTTGCCAATGCGAAATTGAGTAGTAGGCACTTTCTTAATATCATGCGAACGGAAGGCTGGTATCGATGCCCAGGCTATATATACGCTATTAAATAAATTCTTGGTGTAACGTCAGTCAGCAAAGAAAATCAATAAGAATTTCATAAAGAATGAAAGGCAGGAAACAAGGAGAAGGAAGCTAGCAAACAATATGAAGGAAAACTTTCAAGCCTTATTCGTACTCCACGGGACCACGTATAATAGTTTCTTCTGAATGGAACCGTACCGATCTACTAAACGAAGGTGTTCACGAGAGGGAAGGGCTTATCTTCAAATTCGGTATCAACTGAGCAAATCTCCAAAATGCCTTTCATTCATAACAAAGGAAATGGCACCGAAACAACTTATCTGCAACCCTGACACCAGCAAGCACGGGCAAATTGATCCTCAAAACCAAAGGGCGTTAGCCAAGTCGAGGCTTTTGAAAAGCCTTACCTACAACGCGAGTCTCCTATTTGACTATCAACCATTCTAGTTTCAAAAAATGTTCCCATCAGTGCTGCTACTCGACTTTCTCATCTCCTATTTGTTTGAGCCATTCATTATAGTGGTGGTGCCGGGGAGGCAGCTTAGCACTCTAGTCCTAAAGAGTAAGTAATTGTAGCATGGGCAGGCAATCTCTTCGATTGATTCCCCTCCAGGAATTACTTTCATTAATTAGCCGGCCCACGGAGTGAAATATCGAACTTAACCTATAAATAACTAGTATCTCAAAAATCCAAATAAAAGGCTTTACTTTTAAAGCTTGTTAATGGAATTCCACAGGAGTCAAGCGCTAGCAAAGAAGAATTGGAAATCAGTCGCTTCCCTTCTGGGCTCAAGTCAGCAGAAGAGTGAACTTCATATTAATAGGTAAATCCTGCATCAAGCGTAAAGGAAGTACACTTATTTGGATTCGGCGCTTAATAACTCGTAGTTGACGTTGGTTTCGGTTCGATCAACTATCCTTTTTGAAGCGGATAGTTCACAGTGCTCATTCTCAAAAAAAAGCGGAAAAGCCATGATGTTTCCACTCCATTTTCATTACGAAGATGTATTACGTCAGGATCTGTTGCTCAAACTGAATCACGCCAATGTTATGGAAGTTCCTGGATTGTTTGAAATCAGATTAGTACCAAAAGCTGCCTCTGATTTTAAAATCCAATTTGGAAAATTGGCTATGGAGATTTTGTGCGGTCAGAGATTCATACAGACACAAAGGGGCCCTTATTTTAAAGCAGGAAAGTCGTTTCGATCCAATCCATTCTTGGGGTCCGAAAAAGACACTGGATATGTCAGTGACTTTGCACGACAAAGCGTTCTCCGAGGGCATGGAATGTACCATTTTTTGGTCAGAATCTTGACAGTAATGTCTATGTTAGATTCTCCGGTCGAAATATGGGAAAACTCCATCAAATTCTTTATGGAAACGGAGTTTTGCGAATTCTCCCCGGAACTGGAAGATCATTTCGAGATCTTCGAGCATATTCGAGGGTTCAATGTGACTATTGTCACTTCGGCCAATACAAAAGATGAGACTTTACTACTGTGGAGCGGCTTTTTGCTAAAAGATGAGGGGGAAACTAAGTAAGATGTCGGAGAAGCGAAATATACGAGATCACAAACGTAGATTGCTCGCGGCTAAATATGAATTGAGACGAAAGCTTTAGAATTTTTTAACCCGATCTTCCGCGGGATCGTTATAAGTTGTCCAAGTTGCCAAGAAAGAGTTCAATGGCACGAGTCAGAAATCGAGGTATTTTCACGGGTCGCCCTCGTTCCGTAGTTGAGTTCTTTCGCATTTCTCGTATCGTTTTTCGTGGATTAGCATCTCGAGGTTCTTTGATGGGCATAAAGAAATTGTCTTGGTAGCAACCACCAAACCAATAGAACAAAGGTTAGCTCTGCAGCTAGTCCACAAGCAAGGGTTGTAGGTCCATTACCGTCCGGCTCCCGACCGAAACTAACGGAGTCATCCCAACTCTCGGATCGGAGATGCTAACGGGACAGGAATCGAAGTCCATATTTTTCTAAATTCTTAAATGAGAGAGTGAATACCATACCTAATTCAGATTTGGCTCGCTTAGAACTTGATAGTCTTCTAATGGCTAAATTGGATGAAGATAATCAAGCCAAGCTCATTTACTTTGAATTGAGGAAGGAAGGGGTAGGGGAATACTAAATTTCTTAAGATGGTTTTGTAGGTTTCTCATAGCAAATAGAGACACCGAGGCCCTCTCCACAACCTAGTAGTTGATGGGTATGGGGAGGGGAGAGAAGAGTGGGTATGAGGGCTTCGCTCGCTTGTTTGTTTTCCTAAGAGTCACCCATACTACAACGCACACAGAAGATATGGCTTCAATCAACTATTTATTTTCTTGCTTGATTTCCTGTGCATACTCCTTTTTTTAAACATACTTGATCCAAAGACTTGATCAGGCAGTATCAAATGATAGGTGGCACGCATAAACTTATCTTGTCAGTTATCCCTTGCTAGCTTGTATTTGTGAAGGATATGTTAATCTGGGTCAAAGATACTTGTTCTCGATGAGTGAAGATTCAGGTATTACGCCTCGAATGGAGCATTACGAGTGCATGATTGAGTTGTTTAGTAAGCATGGTTGATTTTTAATCATTTTTTTCCACCTTAAGGGCCCCAGAAACTTCTAGTTATTCTCCAGTAGGAAAGGTTCTAGTGACATTGCTGCTATTGCTGGAAGTCCAGTTTCATTTTGGCTGGGAGTTCTCTGTCAGCTAGTGGGAGTCCCGCTATTCTCATTGTAGGCGTAGTTGCTTCTTTCATCCAGCCCAGCACGCCATATAATCCCTTTTCCATGCCCGTGCTTTGACCTACGCCTAAGTTAATGTCGATCCAAAGGAAGCCATTTAGATCTGAGTTAAGGAAGGAAGTTAATTTAAGCAAGAGAGCGATAGGATAGATATAAAGCTTAGACCAATAGGCATCTTAGGAAAGCCGGTTTTTAGGGAAAAAAGTATATTAGTATACTACCTCTTGGAGTTTCAGTTGCTATCCATTCTGTTTGAGTGCCATATAGCTTTTCCTATTCAGTTCTAGAACTAGTGGTTACAGCGAATGAGCAATCTTGTGTATATCCGGGCAAGAGACTCTGTCAATTCATCCAATGAGTAAGCAGGACAGTTAAGTTAGAAATCCTTTAAGTCCCTCTTGAATTTAAGTAAACTCCGGCCCTCAAAAGTAAACAAGTTTTCAAGGGTAGGGGTAGCGTTTACTAGCCAGCAAGTAAGATAACAAAGCTCTTTTTTTCAATAAGAAAAAGTAGTAGTCTTCCACGGGTCTCAATGGAGGAGAACTTTCCTGTTCATCCTACTGCATAGGCAAGATCTCATCCTTCGGCGAATCTAGGGGCTCAGAAGAGTGCTCCCTACGACGGGAAATTGGGGTCCAAAGACTATCTCTTCGACGACGTGGACACGGGGAGGCGATCCGACAAGAGAGATGCAGAAGAATATGCCCTCCTCAACGGGTCAAGCCCTCGCTCAGAACTAAATCATCCTGCGGCACTCACTGCATGAGCTCATAGGGCAAGATGAAGAGAAGGAGAAAGGCTAAAGAGATCGTCAACTTCACCTTGGCATGCTTCCATCAGCGCTGAAAAGACAGCATTGAACGAGAAGAGAACTAAGGCAAGGCTGGTGATGTGCCACTGTACGGGGAGCTCTGAGAAAGTAGAAGTGCTTTCCTTCACGCTGAGCGTGAACTCTCGATTTCGCTATACGAGGAAGATTGCTTATGACATCAATCAGCTAAGTCCGTCTGTCGAAGAATTTCTCATTGCATTCGATGTTTAGAGTAATAGTATAGAGTGTTTGGTCTCGCTTTTAAGTTGTATCGGCTGGCAATATGCCATAGCGGCTGGTTCAGAATATCCCCCTCGCGAACCTCCACCCGCGGACCAAGACTCCAACCGAAGCACAGACCTGAGAATTGGTAGTCGGAGAATCAGTAGCTTGTAAATAGATTTTCTGTTATGCGATGCTCGTAATTCTCAATAGGGCCCCCTTTCTGTTAAGTGAAGTGAGGCGGGGTCGCCGAACGAACGACGTTAGTTTACTTGCACGCGATCTCCTTCCAGAGCCAAGACATTAACAGTCTAGAATCTTTTTTCATTTTTTACGTTCTGTTAGGTTCTTATCTTAGATTCCGTCATGACGGAGCCTAGACCTTTTCTTCTTTTACTTCACACAATAGAAAATTGAATTAATATATATTAAATATATTATTTTATAAGGGCAAATATATATAATATATAATAATATTAAATATATTATTTTTTATGGGCAATAGTTAGGAGAGGTGCGCCTAGCTTTTTGTCTCTTTGATAGCTGGAAGTTCTCCAAAAGTATGAAAGGCTGGAGGGCTTTGTACCAACCATTCTAGTGTGGTTGGATTCTGTTCAACAGCCCAAGGACTTTCCGCACATCTTTTGTTCTTTCCACTGCTTGAAGTGATTGCGACAACTACGAAGAAACGACGAATCCCAACTACGGATATATAAGAACCGAAACTGCTCAGAGCATTCCATCCGGCGTAAGCATCTGGATAATCTGGAATGCGACGTGGCATGCCCGAAAGCCCTAAGAAATGCATGGGAAAGAAGGTCAGATTAACCCCGAAAAAAGTAATCCAAAAATGGATTTGGCCTAAAGTTTCAGGATATGTCCGACCAAAGATTTTACCCACCCAATAGTAAAATCCAGCAAATAAAGCAAAAACGGCTCCCATAGAAAGTACATAATGGAAATGTGCGAACCACATAATAAGTATCATGTAGAGCAATGTCTAGCCCAGAGTTTGCTAGAACAATTCCAGTGAGCCCTCCTATGGTGAACAAAAAGATGAACCCTACAGCAAATAACATGGGTGTTTTGTATTGTATCGAACCTCCCCACATGGTAGCAATCCAACTAAAGATTTTTATTCCAGTGGGCACAGCTATGATCATGGTAGCTGCGGTGAAGTAGGCACGCGTATCAACGTCTAAGCCCACAGTAAACATATGATGAGCCCAAACTAGAAATCCAAGAACACCTATACTTATCATGGCATAAACCATGCCTAGATACCCGAAGACCGGTTTTCTTGAAAAGGTCGATACGATATGACTAATAATACCGAATCCAGGCAGAATGAGAATATACACCTCTGGATGACCGAAGAACCAAAAGAGATGCTGGTATAATATTGGGTCTCCCCCTCCTGCAGGATCAAAAAAGGTTGTATTAAAGTTTCGATCGGTTAATAACATTGTAATTGCCCCTGCCAGTACCGGAAGTGATAATAAAAGTAGGAATGCTGTCACTAGAACGGACCACACAAAAAGTGGTAATCTATGCATAGTCATTCCAGGTCCACGCATGTTGAAGATAGTTGTTATAAAATTGATAGAACCTAAAATTGATGAAACACCTGATAGATGAAGACTAAAAATTGCTAAATCAACTGCTCCTCCAGAATGGCTGGTAATACCACTTAAGGGCGGATAGACCGTCCACCCAGTGCCGCTGCCCACTTCTACTAAGGCTGAGCTTAATAGGAGCAAGAGACTTGGTGGCAACAACCAGAATGATATATTATTTAATCGTGGAAATGCCATGTCAGGTGCACCTATCAGAATCGGAACAAACCAATTACCAAATCCACCTATCATCGCCGGCATAACCATAAAAAAGATCATTAAAAAAGCGTGAGCCGTTATTAAAACATTATAAAGTTGATGATTCCCACCAAGAATTTGATCGCCGGGTCGGGCTAATTCCATACGAATCAGTACGGAGAAGCATGTGCCCATCACTCCTGCAATGGCACCGAAGATGAAATATAGAGTACCGATATCCTTGTGGTTAGTGGAGAAGAGCCATCGGACCAGATTTGTCATTTGATTTTCGTTTTGAAAACTTTCAAGCCTTATCAGAGAGGGGCTCGGGGCTGGAAGAGAAGAACCTTGATACTAAACCAAGTTTCGATAACTTCTTCAGCTTTCATTTCCTCCGTCTTCAAAATCGCAGAGTTAATTCAAAAGTCCTGTTAGGTCACATATGCTTGCTTTTGAAAAAAAAAGTGGTATACGGCATATTATTCCCCCCCCCTCTTTCGATCTTCTAATTGGAAGATCAGTAGAGTGTGTTGGAATTCGGTTCTTTCGAGCCTTGCTTGGGCTCGTTCTATCTTTGAATATAGCGAATTCCGTTCCACCTCAATCCACGTTCTTTTCGCGCTTTGCGCTTCCAGGAAATCACGGTTGTGGGAAACCACATCACGGAAGAAAAATGATCCTTCCTCATGATCCCGCAGATCCTGATAAGCTGCCTGGAGAATAGAGAAATCATCCGTTGCTCGGATAGAGTCAAGATAGGAACGAAGCGCCCCCTCCAAAAGGTAGGGTTCTACCGGAAGTACGGCTCCGTTCCTCGCGTATAGAGCTAGAAATTCTTGAATTAGATCCATCCTAACATTGGATGTCCTTTCTTCCATTAGGAAGAGCCTCAGCCGCCCAGGTATGTCCTCCAGAGGGGTGTTGTGATTCAGCTCCTGCTGAATGAACGCAACCCACTCCGGATCCTGCTCGTAAAGGCTCAGATAGAAGTTTAGCCCTTCTAAATGAGCTAGAGCCTGTGGGTCTTGAACTTCTGGGGGAAGAGTGATAAGAAAGGAGCAACAAGTTAGAAGGGAAAACATCTGTACTATGGGGAGGACTATCCGATAAAAGACTAGAAAAACTAAAATGGAAATCTTCAAAAAGAAGATCAAATATGGAATACATAACATATAAAAATAAATAGTCGACGAAATTTCGCTACTTATCCTTTTTTTTCGCTCCTGTAGTGATTTAAGCACTACTTTAAAGATAACCCCCCCAGCCGAACGACTACTAAATGCTCGGCAAAGCGCTCTCCCCTTTATGCTTTGTCTCATTCTATCTCTCGTCATCACTCGATGAAACCTCTACTTCAATGAAAGCTCCTCCTACTACTCCCCCTTATCCTTCTCACTCGTCGTTTCGTTGGTCTTTTATATACCCATTGATTGTCCTCGGAACAACTATTGCACGCAGCAGGGAGTTCACTGGTCAAACTATGTCAATTGAAAAGGGGGGATCCGGTGGTCTGGTCTCTGTGCTTCGCTTTACCTCTACCCATTTCCGCACCAATAGGAATCTTGCGATTCGAACCCTCCACTCAATCTCTCTCGCCTCTATCCATCTCTTTTGTTCTATCATCCATCAGCTCTTGTCCTACAATTCTCTTTCACTTGCATTTTCTTTCGTTCTGAGGTGGAATCGAACCACTGAAGGATTTCAAGGGCAATGCCCCTTGCTCTTCCCACTGAAACAAGCAAAAAAGGATTTGCAGTCCTTTGCTCTAACCAGCTGAGCTACCAGAACCACTTGCCTAAAGTCTCTTTTCTTCATCTATGAGCATCCCAGTGGAGGAGTTTGCTCAAGAACCGAGAGCCGGCCAGGGACTGGACGGCCCTCGTTCGGGAAGGTCTTCTTCGCTATAGACGCCACCAAGAACAAGAAAGGGGCGCTCCGCTCCTAGTCACTAAGTAGTGCTATTCTGTCCGACGGCGGACTCCATCAATCTGAGGTTCTTTCTCTCACGTAATTTCGCCCGCCCGTTCTACTTCCGTGCCGGAGGAAATGGGATTCGAACCCATGATACAATCTTCTTGTATGTCGATTTAGCAAACCAATGCCTTAAGCCACTCAGCCATACCTCCAAGTTGTTGATCGGAATTGGATGTGCCGGGTTGGTTGCCCGAAGATCCACTGCGTAAGCCGTAGCGCGCGTACTCTTCTTTACTGAGCGAGAAAGACTCTATCCAGATCTATGGATCTCCCCTGCGTCCAAGCGAGACCCCATCCACATAACCCCTTATTTTCTCTCCAATGGTAGATTCGAACCCCAAATCATAGAAACTACACTATATATGAGTTTCTGTCCCGCGTTTCAATGGGACTCCCTGGCAGTACGGTGCTGAATTCTCTGGCTTTTCTAGCACGCACGCCCTTTTTCATATAGCACCAGGATGATTAAGACTTTTCATAATAGCGGGTGAAGCTAATACTTTTCATAAGTAAGAACGAGTGAAGCTAATACTTTCTTTGCTGTGCTATCTCAAGAGTTTAGCTTTGAGAGTTGGAAAGGAAATAGGGCGGTGGGTAAGGCCTATTTCAGAATTTTGTTGGTGGGTGGTACTATACGGGTGACTGAGGTCCATCAAAACTGTAGGTGCATTCGTCTAAAGGGCAGACCCTTGAATTCACTCTGCCTGCTTTCGGCAACTGCATTCAACTTTACCTGTCTGTGGGGCTTTGACTATGGTGGCTCCTCCTTTGACTCTAACCTCTGCCTACCTATAGTTTCACTCCAGTCGCTTCTTCCTTTTTACTTATTTGAAAGTGGGCGGCGAAAGGAGTAAGTATCCTATTTTTGGAATGGAATTTCAGTAAAGTCTTTTTTTCTGCTTTATCCTTCTCTCAATCAAAGAAAGGGAATGCAGATGTTCTGTCGCCCTCTCTTCGTATGCCACCAGCCTTCCTATCAAAAAAAGATTCATTCCTTGAACATAGGCCTCTCTCTTGCGGCTAGCGAGATTGGCTCACGCGAAAAAGGCTACTAATCCTACAACGGTAACACTAATTACGGACGAAAAAATATTTCTTTGATCTAACATATATATAGCGGGGATTTCCACTCTTATGCGTATGGTTTTGAGAGGAAGGACCTATTGATTGAAGCACTTCTTTCAACACGTAGGAGAACATACCTACCTTTACGTGCGCTTTGATAAGTAGGTCGACAAAGTATTTAAATAAGACATCCACTGGTAAGGACAAACGAAAGGAGAGTGAAGTTGAGGCAAAAGCTCTTTATCTCAGCTTGAGAATGCTACTCTATTCCTGGAATTAGCCATCCCCTTCTTTGACTATTCGACCTGCTCCTCGAAGTAAGGAAGGGAATGAAGATGGCATTGAATGCCCTTTCCGCAAGAAGGATAGGAGTTGGCTTACCGCATCTACCTTCTCATCGCGGGATAAGGGCTGGGGCTAACTTAAGTACTAAAGCTGCGGGAGCGGCTGCCTTCGTTGATTCCCCACGAAGGAATCGGAATATCGCTACTTCCCCTTACTGTCCTAAGCGGGGGAGATGGATTAAAAACCTTGTGTGAAGGAAAGGCTGTCAAAGTCGTTGACCATTAATCCGGTTGAAGGACAAATAGACAGTGAATCAACAGAATCGAGTTGTTCTAAGGATAAGGATTCGGCAGTCGAGACATCTATATCTATGGAATTTGAAAAGAGAGAAAAGGCCGAGGACGAGCTCAAACCTTAGGGTTTGAAAAGAAGAAGTAAAGCTCTCGTTTACTTCAATCAAAAAAGGTAGGTCATAACACAGATTGAATTAGACCTTACTCAATCACTCATCGCTGGAAAAAGTAGAGCGATTTCCTCGCAAAAAAAGCACGAGCGAGATATTCATCCTTAACAGGGATCTCAATTGCGGGAAGAAGATTTTTTCTTCAGGATGGAGCGCATCAGATATTAACAGCCAACTGATAATTAGTGCAAACTGGAGTTTATCCCGCAATTCATCACTTAGTAGGTGGTCATTAACAATTTTACCACTTAGTATATCCGTTATCTTCACATTATGAACATTAAGACAATCTCTGAAAGATTCAAAATACGTATTACGATCATTAATAGCCATATTTTCTACTTCATCATTGAAACTTTTCACTATGTTTTTATGGTACCAGCTAGATTTACATATAGAGGGTAGGGTTCTACTACCTATAAGTATCTTCATCGACTTCCCCCGCATGGAGCAGCATAGATCTAAATTTAGGAGGATTATCCAGATCGTAGTACTCTAAAAGCTCTTTATAGCAATGACTCTCTAAACGTGATATAGATGTTCTATTAGATTTTATCCAGCGGTGAATACGTAGGAATTGCCAGAATATATCGCACTTAAATCCCATCTATGATTTTGAATAGAATTCGTAGGTTTCGACCTGGTGTTGTAACAACCATATCTAGATAGGTTCTTGGTGCTTTCTCGAGTACCCCTAGACTTTCCTCTTGCCACACCTCTTTTCGTGATAAAAACTCATAAGGGGTAAACTCTTTATCATTGTATAATGTATCAACTAACGGATGTCTTATTGGAGGTGATCGAAGTTCTTTTAACCTTTCCCATACTTTTGAACCTTCTAAATGAATGTCATTATGTTTTGATAATACACGGTTTTCAATAAGGCTTTGCCCGCAGCATGTTAAAAGATATGGAATCCTACGAGGAGATACCATTCCCGAGAACAGCAAACCATAAGCAAGGAAGGGAAAATATTGATATAAAATGAAAATGGCGTGTTGGTGTTAGTTTGGGTATCATTATAGGTTTCTGTTTTGCTATTGGCGTATATCCAACAGAATAACAACCCTAATAGGAACCCTAGTGCCCTTACTTTTTTCACTAAACAACTCCATCTTCAGGGGTCATAAGGATATTTATGAGCGCTAGCAACAGTCCATGCTTCTCCTCTTGAGACAGAGGTGTCAAGGGTACATTTATAATAGAAGTAAATAGCTATGTACAATATCAAAATGCAAATACAGCATTCAACTGTTGTAATTAGGTGTGGGTGATGCAATAAGAGTGGGTAGCTGAAGATGGTGATACTCGTTGTGATGCTACGGCTGCTGGCATCTAGTGTAGTTGAGGGCTCTTAACTACAGCGCGGGTACAACACCCACTTTAAACTACTTCCTTGTAGATGAGTGAGAAGACTCATCGAGTTACGAAAAAATCCTTGCGATGGAGCAGTGCTGATGGGTCCACTATGGAGGAACTTCGTTGTGGGGTGGAACGGGTCTTCTTAAGAAGAGTTGCTTTGATGAGACAAGAGTGTACCCATGATGCTAAGGCTGGGGGAGCCCTGTGAAGGCAAGCCATGTGTTTGTAGGGGTTATGAGGAGTGAATGGAAATGAATCATCTTGAACAATACCAGTCTGTAGCACACCCAGCTAAGAGTTGGACCAATACGTTGGAATAGATAGCTCAGTTGCTTACTTTAAAGCTTTAGATAGCTCTGTTTGTTACAAGCAAAGAAGAAAAGATATAGCTTTTGTTTAACACCTGCTACGAAAGGTACGCAGACGACATGGTCTTTGGGGATTCCCTAACTGGGACCCGAGATATATATTGCTGAGAGGTTTGCAACTTAGGATTTCAGTACTGTGTTGCTTGGTCCAGTCCGTCCGGGGTCATGTCCTTCCCATTCGAACTTCTTTCCACTAATCTAATGGTTTCATTCTCCCGGTTATGATACTAGCAAGAGTCCTATTCTTCTCCTCTCGATCCTACCTTGGGTTATGTTTAACAGGGATGGTCAGTGAACTTCTATTGGTTTCAAAGGAGGATAGAGATCCATTGGGGAAGGCTCGAAAGGTTATTCGATATCAAGGTTGACCCTCGACGCGCCGCAGCCACTATTTTTACTCCTTTTATGCAATTATGAACGAAACTTTCTCGATTCCAATGCAACTTATCCTTTTGGAGTTGACGTAACAAACTACGCGAGCCCCCCGATGAAGCCAACAGAAATCCTATCCGAATACTAAAAAGAAAAGGCAATTTCATTATGGTGGTATACCAGCCGCCAGTTCTGGAACTTCCAGTTCCAATCGAAGCATATAGATCCGTAAATGGATTTGTATGTATAGCCACTTCAGTCGTGCTCCTCGTTTCTCGAATGGAAAAAAAGTATCTTCTTTCTGGGAACATGCTAAACCTGAAATTCTTATGTTCGTGATTCTTCATCCACCGATGCAGAAAATCTTCCAGTTTTCCATTCTCATATGAGGCAGGAAAGTTTATGGGCAACAGGTCGGCACGAAGTGATTCATCATGTTCAAACATGAACCTTTCGCTCGTTGGGGACGGTTTATAAATCATCAAATTCCCACAAATGGAATGAGAAGTGGGTCCATGTAAATGATCGAGACCTCGCAAACAACAACGTTCCTTCCCCATATGGAGTTCGGAACCCAAAGGCAATCGTTGAGTGAACTGTATCTTATTCGTATTAGTTGACCTAAGCCGCACCATTATTGCAGGGGTGGGGCTCGGCCTCCGAACCGTACGTGGGACGAGTTTCTGCCTCATACAGCTCGGGCCGAAGACCGGGGAAGCTGAGGAGAGATGGGGAAACCCAACTGCTGCCGGTCGGGACGGACAGGAAAGGGGCGGGGATAAGCTTGTGAAGAAGCAAGCTTATTGCCCCAAAAAACAAACCGACCCAGCAAGAAAACGTATGCGCTTTAGCAACAAAGCGCTCATCCCTTGCTTGTTGCTTCGCGTT